ATCACATACCGATCTATTGCTAGGGTCACATGTGCACCTTTTTAAAAGAGGCCATGTCCTCTATGTGAACAGAGGTGGGAACCTAAAATGACAGAGGGGCTCTGTTCTAGGATAGCTGGTGAGGGAAATATAAATAGGCCCGTGCCCTTTTGCTGTTGACCTGCACAATGCCATTTCTGGGAGACAAATGTCCTAATATGGGATCAGCTGGATTAATTCCCCTCTGTTGAACACCAGTGGATAGTGCACTTCCTATAACATCCCACCAGACCTGTATTTTAGATCTTTGAAGAGAACCGTACTAATTTCTGTCCATACCCGCTCTCTCCTACCAGAATGCCTGCTGGAAACTCATTTGGGTGTTGGCATCGCTTTGTCTTAGTTCATGTGGGGCAGGGGGCAGTTTGTGTGTCTTAAAAGGACCTATAGTGCCTCAAAGTTGCTGCCATGTAATAAATGTACAGTTAACGCTTATGGTTCTGTTTAGAAGTGGACCCTTTTTTAAAAATCCAGCCGTTTTCCCAGCTCTGAGATCCCTTGAGCCTGAGAAGTGGAAATTGTAACTTAACAATCCCACATTTTACTATTTATAAGGTGGTTGTTTTTCCTAATAAATGGATGTTTCTATTACCGCTCCAATGAGCACTTCATTTGGCAAAGCCTTGTTGCCCATCCGGCGGGGAGGGCCTCTGATGTGATCCAGCAGCTCTCTGCCATCCAACACTGACACTCGTAAATTCAGAAGCACCACATTGGCCTCTTGACACTATGGCAGCTGGGGCATCAGGAACGCCTGCATGGACGAAATGTACCATGATGCCCTGGCTCTGCTGGGGAGTCCTCCCATCTCGCTGGTTTTCACACCACCTCTTCTAGGCTGGAAGAACACAGTGCTCTCCTCTGCAGCCCTTCTACCTCCTTTCTTGTGCTGTGGAGTTTTCAGAGAGGTTACACCCACCTCGAGGCCAGCCTCAGACTGGGCTGAGTGTTTTGCAGCAGCGCCAGGACAGTAGTAAGCAGACTTGAGAAGCTTCCCCGTCTCACTGAAAGCCTGTGATCGCAATACTCTAACAGCCGCATGTAGCTGAGACAGTCTGGTGGCTCCCTCTGATTATCTCCAGCACTGCTTCTGCCTGCTCAGCTGGAGAAGTAGCTGCCTGTTTGGAGGTATAACTAGAGCCCTATGCAGGACTCATGCGTGCAGCAAATCTAGTCTTGGGAGGGGCAGGAGCATTCTGCTGCCTGGCTAGGTCTATCTCCATGACAAGAGAGCAGCTGCCAAGCATGACCAGGTGCCCTGTGCAGATACTGACAAAGCTTTACAGCACAGGCATCAAAGAAGCAACATGAGCAACAAAGTCACTTGAGCTGAACACATTGGTCTTTACTCCCCAGGCAGCTGGGGTAGGAATCATGTCAGAGCTGGGACAGAGGTTGCTTCAACCACTGGGGTGAGGACAGATAGCAAAGGTGACTATAGCACAGCTGTTAAAGCACTTGCCTAATGTGCTAGGAGAAAGACTTGCACAAGAATATAAACTTAATGTAACTTACATCCCTGCCTGGAGTCTGAACTTCAGGGCATTCGTCTCTATTGACAGCAGGTGCAAGTCCCGCCACAGACAATGACAACTGTCTACTGTGGCCAAGCCCTCATTTATTAGATGTAGGCCAGCTTTTGTTCTCAAAGAAGTCACTCTGATGTACCACCAAAGGCAAGAGTGGGCCAGCAGCCCTGTGTGTAAGACTGAATGCTAGTGGCTGCTGTGCCCTTAAACAGCAGGCATGACCCACTGCTTACAAGGCTTGGGGTCTGTCTGGACTCTTTGCTGCTCTTTCATTAGGGTGACCTAATGTCAGTGGTGAACATGCACGGAGAACAAAGACCTAGGAAATATCTTAAACAGAAAGCTGCCTCTGCTCACAAATGAGTCCTAGGCTCTTATGCTAATAAACAACCCCTCTCTTGGGGTGGCCAACCTGAGCCTGAGAAGGAGCCAGAATTTACCAATGTACATTGCCAAAGAGCCACAGTAATATGTCAGCAGCCCCACATCAGCTCCCAGAGCCTCCTGCCCACCAACAGCCCAGCTGATCAGTGCCTCCCCCTCCATCCCCACACTGCCCGATCAGCTGTTTCGTGGCATGCAGGAGGCTCAGAGGGGGAGTGGGAGGAGTGAGGGCCTGGCAGGCTCAGGGGAGGGAAGGGGTGAAGAGGGGTCAGGGCCTGTGGCAGAGCCAGGGGTTGAGCAGTGAGCACCCCCTGGCACGTTGGAAAGTTGGCACCTGTAGCTCCAGCCCCAGAGTCGGTGCCTATGCAAGGAGCTGCATATTAACTTCTGAAGAGCCGCATGTGGCTCCGGTCCACAGGTTGGCCACCCCTGCCCTAAATGAGTCTAGAGCTGAACCACAGGCTTGGCCAATGTGTCAGTTTGTCTTGGGGACTGGAAGAAAGCCAGAGGCAGGTTCCAGGGAGGGCACCTTGTTACTGACAATGACTACCAGAGCTGCAAGACTTGTTTCCTCCTAGCTTTTGGGGGTACCTTTACTGCCTCTTCCAAAAGAAGAGGTGGAGTACAGCTCAGTCTGCTGGTGTTTTACCCACCAGGGCTAGGTATCAACACAATCAGAGCCCTGTGTGGATATTCTCTACAGCAGACCTCATTAAGAGCTACCCCCTTTTTCAAGGCCTATGGGGTATTTGCCCATCACTTTATACATCACAGTTTTGATAGTGAAATCCCCCCCAGGTGCATAGTGAGAAGTGTGGTTATAGCTCCAGCACATCCAAGATGGGTTGGTCCCTTATACTCTCCCATTCCTGGCTCCATCTATTGTCTCACCTTCTCTATTTAGACTGTATGCTCTTCAGGGCAGGGACATAGTTTTGCTCTGTTTGTTCAGTGCCTAGCACATAGAAGTGCTAGTCATGGATCAGGAGCCTAGGGTGCTACCACAATATTAAGAGAATTAAGGGAGGTTTTTAAGTGTGGCTTTGTATGATTGGACTACCACAGTGGGGCAGAGAGAGAGCTACACTCCACTAAAAGCCAGAGTGGTCCCTACAGAGCAGGGCGGCCACCTTTCATCCCTGTTCTACTTAAGCTTCTCTCCTGCAGGTTGTAGCAGTTTCCCTGTAATTCTCAGGGGAATGGGCTAGTCTATCTTTTGCAGGAGCCGGACTTCCTCCTACACTGAACTGTCACTGAATCTAGTCCTTGTCTTTGCAACGTAACAGTTGGGTCAGAAGAAGGGGGGGGGGGGCGGAATCTACTTTTACATCAACCACCACATCCACTCTGGCTCCTCCAGTGCTCCTATTGGTCTTACCAAAAACTAAGCTTTGCTCATTCAGGCCACATCACACGTCTCTCAGCCACACCACTGAAGTACCTTTACCCACTAGCATGTTTAACCTGCTTATCCTGGCCTAAAGCCCCTATGCAGCTTTACCCTCCTTGATTCCTCTAATCAAGTCAGAAGGAAACTGAAGCAATCTCCCCTCTTTAATTAATGCCCTGTGTCTATTAAACATGTGCCTAAGCCCCATGCAATGAGTGCCTAACCTCCATTCAACTCTCTCCTAAGGCTACCTACAAATTATTAAGTAAGGGATTAAATGTACCGCCTCAGTCACCCCGTTTTCTGTAACTGCAGTTCCTAAAATGTGGTCTGTGACCCATGGCAGCTAGTGCTTAGGGTACCAGCTCTGTTTCAAGCTGAGAGAAACAGACAGGAAAGGGGAAAAGAAAGCACACACACAACATCATATTGAAGTTTAAAACATTCATCAATATTTTCCCCATGTGCAAGTGCTGCCATTACATGATCACAAACAGACAGGGAAGGTGGGACACGCGCTTTTGAGGAAAAACCGTTCTACGGTATAAGCTCTCCAGGATAGGAGCTGTCTTGTAGAGTAGCTAACGTACTGTCAGCACTTTAATTGGGTCCCTGTTGACTGAGACAGAAGAATACAACCTACTGCAGTGCTAGCACATGCTGGTTCCAGGGGGGCTTCCCATCAAAGTACAAACAATGCCTATTGACTATAGTAGAGACTGCCTGGCTAGAGACCACTGTGAATATGCAAAAAGTGAAGCTTGGTGTAGAGCAGGGGTTGGCAATGTTCGGCAAGCGGCTCGCCAGGGTAAGCACCCTGACGGGCCGGGCCAGTTTTATTTACCTGCTGACGCGGCAGGTCCGGCCGATCGCGGCCCTCACTGGCCGCGGTTCGCCGTCCCGGGCCAATGGGGGTGGCGAGAAGCCGCGGCCAGCACATCACTCGCCCGCGCCACTTCTCGCCGCTCCCATTGGCCCGGGACGGCGAACCGCGGCCAGTGGGGGCCGCGATCGGCCGAACGTGCCGCGTCAGCAGGTAAATAAAACTGGCCCGGCCCGCCAGGGTGCTTACCCTGGCGAGCCGTGTGCCGAACATTGCCGACCCCTGGTGTAGAGGAACGAACACACACACACACACACACACACACACACACACTCTCCCCCTCTCCCCAGTCAATTCCAGATGAATCATGAAAGTAGAAGCAAGTGGGCCAGGGAAGATGCTGAACCACTGAACAAGCAGATGCCACTTCAAAATGACTAGGGCACCAAAAATTGTCAGTGGGGAAGCCTGTTATGAAGGGAGTGGAGTTCACACTAGCTCCCTGAAGCACCTAAATCAAGGCTTTGAGATGGGGTGAGTTGACTACCCCTGTGCTAAGCTGCTGTTTTAACAGTTTGCTGCTACATGGCCAAGAAACCCTGCTCTCTTGCAGCTCCTCACCAGGCCTTAGCAGAGAAACACCTGCACATGCCCAGCCTGCCTTTTAAAGACACAGGGTTTTTTTGTTTTTTTAATAGCAGGCCCCAACGAGCCATAAAATATACAGGCTGAAATAAAAGATTCGGTTAAGGAAAGTGCTCTACTGAAGATTAATTCAGGCTCCAAAATGCTGACCATACACCAGCACAACTCTGAAACCAGAAAATGCTTTATTGGAAAGGTACAAAAAACCAGTCACTGCAGCTAAATTTACAGCAATAAATTACGTTGTGGCTGTCAAGAGAAAGTGATGGACACATACACAGGGCTATACGCCTTACAAACAGGAATCCACATTACTCGGTATATCAATAATTTATTTTATAATAAAAAAAGCAGCACAAAAATAAATATTGAAATGAAATTACTGAATAACCACGGAGGATAGCATGAGTTGGTGATAAAAACTTAACAGAAGATCTACCATTAAAAAAAAAAAAAAAAAAAGAAAGCAAAAGATCCACCATCTACGGAAACACCCCAGCAGACTGAAATACAGATGACAAAGGAAAACAAACCCACATTACAAAAGTTTTTTTTCTTTAAATGAAAACAATCATGACAAAGTTTAAATGATCTGAGAGAGAAAAAATGCCTCCTCCTCCTTGGGCTTTGAGTCGCACAGTAGCTTGAATGCCCCCACGATCCCAGCAATACATAAACTTGCCACTCACTCTCCCCTCCCACCCATTATTCATTTTGCCTGCCGCCCTCCCTCACTTGTCCCAGAGAGATGTGGCATTACAAAACACGCAAACCTTTTGCTCGTTATATGTTGTTTCCTCAGGCAGAGGATATAGCTGGGCAAGGTCAGAGACACTAACTTGCTTCAAAGGGCTCTGAAGCTTCCCTAGTGGGAAACTATTCCCAGTCAGGAGCACAACAAATGCACATACAGGAGCACAGAGAAGCCCCTGATCAGAAGGACCTGTTATTGCCCCATGTAAACATCCCACAATGCCCCAATTGTGGGTCAGGGGACATACCGCTGGCTGCTTCTAATGTCCCCACCTTCATACCGTGGTTCCTATGCACAGGGTGGGTCTCAGAGGAAAATGCTGGGCCTGGGGTTCAGAAGTGGAGCCTAATCCTCATGAAATTAAGACTCATTGCTTCCCTCTAGCGGTGGTGTGACAAGATAAGAGGGGAGAGAAAGGAGCCCTAGTTACTGCAGTAAGGAGAGACAAGAGGGAGTAGGAGGAGGGTTGGAAGAGAGAAGCACTCATTTTCAAAAGGGCTCCCCTAGTGATTCTGCAAGCAGTGGCCCAATTCCCCTCACGCGGCTTTTGCCCTGGGCATCAGATTTGCAAGTGCAGGACGGAACAGAAACAAACCCCAGAGGAAGAAGGGAGAGGGAGTTGTCTCTCCAATGTGGTGAGCAGCTTTCAGATTGTTCCTCCCTCTGTATTACCTTGCAATTCTGACCCACCAGTTGAAGTTAGCCAGCATGCCTCCTTTCCCCCCAAATCACCACCCAAGGAGCCTTGGACTGGCAATTTCTTTTAGTAAAGATTTACAGTATCAAACTTGGAAAAAAAAATTACGAAAAATCTATATGATAAAATGTATATAATATATTTATATATATATATATATATATTTATTTCTCTTTTTAAATATTTCCACGTGGTCCTTATGGATATCCAATATGGATTACCTACCATGGTTATGGTATCAACAGCTTTAATAACACCCAGGCCTCATTCTTGATTGAGTAATCAGAGACTACGCGCCTTCTAGCACTAAATCAGCAATCACTTGGACAAGCCTTTGGCACACTTCTGAGAACTGGAAAATGCTCAGCCACAATGGAAGTACTAGTAAAGAACTCAGATCTATTCCTCATCTCATTCCAACAGCAACTGAACCCCACAGAATTACTTTTAAATTCCCCATTTCACTCCTGTCTAGTTGATCTCATTTCCTTGGTGCAGTGAAGGATTCCTCGGGTGGAGGGGGTGGTCTTATCAGTTCAGGAATGTCAAGACTTTCATGGAGCTATTTTAGAAATGGGGAACATTCAGTCATTTCCAAGTCCACTGGATATTTTTCTGTTTCTCTTTTAAAGTCCCAACAGTGCTAGGAATCTAGACATTGCCTGTGTTAATGGTGGCACCTTAGAGATCTGGGAAGATTTCCAAGTACTTTTGAGTTACAGAACATGAAAAGGGATTAGGGTCTTCTCTTCCTCAGCTTCTGCTGGGGGAGCCAATAACTGGTACTGATACGCAGGACATCAATCTGCCTGTTAGGAGATGGTAAGGAAGTGGAGGAGAAGTGGAGCTAAATACCTCCAAACTATATTTGTTGGTAACTTCCTGTTTGCCTCCTCCAGGAGGAGATGAATCTGGTGGGGTAAAAGCCATCAAGGAAGCATTACTCTTACACATCCTATGGCTCAGGAAAGTCATCAATGTAGAGGTTTAGGACTGAATGAGAACCAGGTTCTGCCTCTCCAACTACTTGACTTAAGTACCTTCTTGGGGAACCAAGAGACTCCAGTGACTGGGAAAAAGTGAGCCAACAACAACTTGTGTTTGTCTTTAGAAGAAAGACAGGGCTTCACTAAACTTGTGCATTCTTCTTGCAATTCAAGACACAAGATAACTTCACAAACAATATCCTACACTGGCCTAGGATGCTAATTTTCTGTCCTCTTCAATGATAGGAGCATCTTTCTTTATCCTTTTCAGTTAAACTAGACCACCAGTCATTCTTCTCCATCTTCTCCTTTGTACCTTACTCTGGAACACCAGACTACCAAACCCTTCTGAATATGAACATTAGCCATCTCCTCCAGTCATCTTGAACTTCAGGAGTCTCAACCTCTTCTCACCTGCTTTAGAGCAGGCATCTGACAGCCCACAAATCTTTGACCTACTCTGGAACACCAGGCAATCCCTTTTCTTTCCTACTTCAAACACATAAACATGAACATAGCTATTTTTACTCAGACCTGGAAACTTAGAATGTCTTTTCAGTCCTGTTAAAGAATAGACTCTTCTCCCTTTGGCTTCCCCTTTCCTGCCCACTGCTGAGCCACGGTTACCTCTTCCCAACTATCCTTCAGAACCATAAGCCCTACTTATCAACCCCAATTTTATCATCCCCCAAAAGCCACCGATTCCAATCCTGCCCTCCATGCATCTCTAGGGATAATTCACACCCCCAAGAAATGTTGAGTTTCAGGGTTGTCGTCAGACAGGTTCTCTCAACCCTCTCAACACAAAACACTATAGGTTTTTCTACTCTTTGGAACCCAGCTTTAATGACTGAGATTGGGTTAAGAATCTTTCTTCCCTTTTTCAGCTTCCACCCAGCATCCCATACCCTATCTCTTGTTGGCAAAGATCAGCGTACATGGCCCCTGAGGTTGGGATGGCCACTGTTCTAACAGGCAAAGGCTTTAACCACCACTACCTCTGTTATCCAGGAGTTTCTGCTGGCTTTGATCTTCTTGCACATACACTATCGGCCCTCTTGTTACTTCAGTGCTTTTAACACATCTTTCTAACATGCTCTACAGAAACACCGTTTCACAGTGCTGATTTCCAGAACAACAACTTCCCACCATGGCAACCAATTCTGCCTCAGTCCAGTAATACTTCTAGTATTTCTCTCTATGCCCCGCAACATACCTCCCTTCTTGAATTTTACTGTGCCTTCCTCCCTTGAGCTTCAAAGAACCCTGAATAAGCCACTATTACAAACCTGTGGATCATCTGGAAGAAATAAACTGCATAAATATACCCAATTTACAGGCACATCTTGGGGAAGGAGCTCTTGGTAGACTTAGCTTTGTATAAGGGAGGCTGCAATTTAGCTTTATAGGCCACACAGGTATGGGGTGTATTAAAACATGTAAACTGGTAACCGGTATGGGCTGAAGACAGGAAGGTTTTTCCTAACTGGTGTGGTCTGACCCAAACATATTCCCTCTCTGTATGACCAACCCTCCTCTCCTCCCCCCCAGTGCATGGCGGAATGGACTCTGCTTCAGAGTTTATTTCTCTGCCACTGCTACGACAGTGGAACGTGGTGGTGGGGTGAGGTAACTTCATAATGGGAGTTGGATGCCACTGAAGGAAACTTCTCTATACATTCATCTCACATGATTTCGACAGTCCATCGGTTACCTGGCTCTTGAACATTATTCACAAAGGCTCCTCCGGTATCTTCTCCCAATTGGGAAGCTGCCCACAGCCTAAAGGGGGTTGGGGAGGCAGGGGGAGGAGGAAGAGAAAGCTCATACTAGGTACAGAGCTCAAATCCCAGCCACAAGAGCTTCATGGAACCACTAAGTTCACAGAGGAGCAGCCAGTTACGTTCCCTTTGTAGATATATATATATTTTTTTTGCACTTTTGAAAGAGAAGGAATTGGTAAAATGCTAATTCTTGAAGTGACCAAGGACTCTGGAACGGTGCATAAGAGCCCTTTCCCCAACCCTCCGAAAGGCTGTAGTTCCCCCATCTAGGGCACTAGGATGCTGCTGAAAATGGCACAGAACTGGATGAGATTTCAGCTGATTTCACAATGGTGATGACACTAGTGGTGGCGACTTTGGTCGGGGTAATAGGCCCCCGTGCAACGGTACGAGCAAAGGTCTGCAACGCCTCGTACTTGGAGCGCAGGGCGTCCAGCTCTAGCTTCATGCTGCTGTTTTCTCGGGCCAGCTTCTCCACCTCTTGCTGCAGCTCAACCCGCTGCCTCTCCAGCTCCTCCTTCTGTGTCACACGCTTGATGCGGCAGCTGGCAGCATAGCCCCGGTTCTTGAGCGTGCGCCTCCGCTGCTTCAGGCGGATGACCTCTTCTTTCGTGAGACCTCTCAGGTGCTGGTTCAGCTCCCGGACGGACATTGACACGAGTTCATCGTCACTCAGCACTGGGGCGTTCTCTCCTGACTCCTCCTTTACCTACAAGTATCAATGTCACAGAGATAACAGTCAACAACAACAACGTGAACAGGTACTGAGTAGCCATCCTGGCTAAAGCAAGAAAGCAACTATGCTACCCTGCAGTAACGTAACTATATTCATATAGCGCCTCTCCGACAGAACGATTCCAAAGCACTTTACAGGCTATGCATGCCACAGAAATGCAGCCACCTCTGGGTGGTGCATGGTAGATATTTCGGCATAGTATCTTCAGGATACTACAAGGAGAATTTTAAGGAGACTGGAGTAAAATTGTTTGAGCTGAAACATGCCATGGGATCTTTATCGCAAGGGGTCAGGACCATAGCTTTTCATCTCATCTCCAGCAGCACAGTGCCTTGTGGGATTATGCTGAGGCATTGGTTCAGTACTGATCCAAAAGAAACACCACCACTTCCTGCATCTTGTGCATTTCTTTTCTGAAGGTCTCTCACCCATGTACTGTCCAAACCCAACACTATTTAGCTCATAAGAGCACATCCTGAAGTGGTAAGGCTGCAGGCCCATTTATTGGGCCACAGTACAGGGAGGTTAGATGGAGCAGACAGAGGAACTCTCCCTCTCTCAACCTTTAAGAGGTTATTTGTTTGGTCTCTAGCCACAGTTATTTGCAGAACTTTGAAGGGGTAAAAAGAACATCTACAGAGAATGCAGGACACCTGGAGGAGAGACCCAAGACACTAGAAGGGATTTCTAACAGGCTCATCAGCAAAATGTGCCATCAAAGCCATGAGGCAAGGGTGTCTATGAAGAGTTCACTGCCTACACAGATCTATAGGTAAGACATCTGCAAATCTGTGTGCATATTCCTTATCTAAGTGCATATGCCCTTAGTAGCAGCAATCTCTCACACCCGCATAACTGTCAATACACCTCAACCCCCACCTGTTTAGAAGTGTCTCCTTAATACCAACAGGGATACTCTAGTCTATGCACAATCCCAGAGACTCTGGTCTTCCCCCCGATTATGTCATCAGTGCCCCTCTATCCTTTCTTCACAAGTGCTTCCCAGCTGATACCAGAGAAGCATTCTGACACACTAATTTGCAAACAGAACCCCTCAGAGAATAAATGGCTTTTGGCACTATTAGCTCGGCTCCTTGACCCATCCCATTCACCCAGAATCAGATCAGTCAGGCTCCCACCACAGCCTTACCTTTAATGCCTTGTTCGGTTTGGGATTAGTCGTCATAACCTGGGCACAGTCTCCTGGACAGAACTGGTCAGAAATTGCAACTGGAAAAAACAACACAACAAGATTTTCAAAGGGAATGGGGAAGGAAACAGACCCAACATTCAAGACATAGTGACCCATTCTCTACAGCACCATGCGACGTTTTGGGGCTATGTAACCACTCACTAACAAAAACCATCAACCTTTAGGACCACCAAAAGGATTCAGAGAGGAGTGTCTTCCTTCAGCCACATATGGGAGGGTCTTTGTATTGCCAGCAAGTGCCACATGTAAATATAGCTTGTTTGGGTTTTTTGAAGTTAAATGGGGCTTGTTTTAAATTCTTGATATTATTTTTGCTGAGAAAAAGTGCAAGGAAGTGGATCAATACTGGATTCCATCCTCAATTAGCAATTGTGCTGGCTACCATATACTACTGTGGCAATGTGCTATTTCACCTCTAAGGGCTAGAGGGGAGTTCAGTCTCCATGAGCCAGTCAGTTTTTCATCTGCCCTGTGGAGGATTTTGAGATATACAGATCCAGCCGGTAGGGACTGGACTAAGACTATCAACTCATTTCACAAAAGACACGGAAAAGCCATCAGACAGTAACGCTGCCGCCGCTCCCCTCCCATTTTGGTCATTACTGACCTGGACTGGCTTTGAACCAGCAGCCTGGGGAAGAAAGGTATTCCATTACTAACCCTTAGCCACAGACACCGCAAATATATCACTTTTGAAAAAGCAGGCAAAACCGATTATTAAGACACAGGGCGAGTTTCTGTGCCTCCCGGTAGATCAGGACTGTTGCTTCACGTCTCACCCTAAGGCTGCGAGAAGTCACCTGTCTGATATTCCTAGAGGAGTATCCATTGACATAAAGAATGTCCTCTGCTGGGAAGCTGCCCTTCACTCTCACCTTCGCTGCTAACTTCTCCCCTTCAATCAGCACTTTAGAGAATCCGTCCAGGGGGACCTTGTTCCAGAACCTTCACACCCACCAAGTTGGAGAGATGACATTGCCAGAGTGATTGTTCGTGATGTACCTACCACAGAAGAGGGCACTGCAGCTGTGACATCACAGCATCTGCCTATACTTTCCCCAGCATCTTGGCTACACAAGCTGGGGAGGGTGCGAGGGCTCCAGCTCTGACACAGAGTCTGTCCCTCCCAAGGAGCGGCTGTAGTGGATTTCAAAGGCTGCAGTGGTGCTGGGTGACAGAACACACAGACTGTCTGGCGGGAGTTCTGCCCCCCTCCCCATCCCATTTCCACGTCTGCATCGTGTCACACATTCTAATCATTCATGAAAAATACAGCCAAAGCATCCCAAGCATGATTCCCTTCTGATAGTTGCCATGGTGACCTTGGGAAAGTAGCCAACCCTGAGCCAGTAACCATGGAAACAGAGAAGCCCAAAAGCAATAATGACTTCAGGTCATGTCTGTGCAAAGACATCATGAGGTCGTCAGAGAGTAAACAAACTCATTCATATCTGCAAACAACCCTGGAGGTGGGAGGTCCAAGGGCATATGAAAGTGGGATGCAGGGGGTGACAGGGAGTTGTGTGGGTAAAGGAGGCTGGCTCAGTTCAGGCTGCTTTTACTTTAATTGTACCAGTCAAGATACTTCATCATGTGACATGCACACAATTGAGGTAGAGGAAAGACAAAGAACAGAATCACAAAGTAAAGGCATTTCCCTGGATTGCAGAATGTCCTCAATAATGCACCTCATCTCTTTGTCAGCCTGAGACAGAGATAGTAGCTTTCCATCTCTCCATCTGCATGTCTCGCCCCCACCCGACTGCTTCCTATCACGCAGTACACAAGCCAGACCAGCGAGAGATGCTTCATGATGAATGGGCCACTTAAAGCGACTGGTACGCAGTGTCTTTTGTGCGGCACCATGCAGGGTGGTGCATTGTGTCGTATTACACCCCATCCTCACACCCTACCCTCACCTCCTCCCCGGCAGCAGGAGCAGACTCAGCTAAGCCCACTAAAATGCCATGGACAAATGGTCATTATTCATCACAGTCTGAGTAGCACAAACCCACCTGGGAGGGCACCTCACCACTTACTGAGGAGGAAAAGGGATGGGTGTGGAGCTGGAGTCTGACCTCTCTTCTATGTGAAATACAAAACTTGCAGCACAACTAAGAAGCCTGAGACACACACAGACATCTGTCCAGACATCAGTTCTCCTCTCCCTCACTTCCCAGTCACACTTAGTATTCACTAATTACGTCTAGGAGCATGCTCCTGCTCAAGTCAGAGGCACAAACACACATCATAAGCACAGACAGGAAGAAGAAAGGGCTCCTAGCCCTGGCCAAATGGTCCCAATGAGTAAAAGGAGCATCGCGTTGCCCGTGTATAAAGGAAACACACTGCACCCCCCTCCCTTCGTGCGCGCGCACACACAAACACACACACACACACACACAGCCTCAGGCCTGGCAGTCAGTTGGTGCCATAGCTATGTAGTGAGTCACCAGCTGTTTACAGAGTTGGAGAGCTAGAGCTCAGATTCCCATAGACCCAGAAACCCTTCCTTCCTTCCCTCCGCATCCCCCCCATCCCTGCAGGGAAAAGGGCACACCACAGTCCTGCTGTCAGCACCTGGCCCAGTGAAAACGGAAAAGGGAAGTCAAGAAAGGAAGGGGGGGGGGGAAGAGAACATGACTCGGTCACACCCACCGATTACACAAAAAGGCTTTTGATCCTCACCCAGTGAGTCTTCAAAGCACTTTCTACACCAGTCGATGGAAAAACTGAACACTCCGCTGGCTGCTCAGAGAGGGGAAGAAATGTGGAATATTGTGGAAAGCAAGTGCTGAGGGTGGAGACTCCCTCGGGGGTCACTGTTGGGCGTAATCTGCCACCCAAAGTAACTCTGCTTATTTTTAAAAGCCTCCTGCGACTCTGTGTGATGAACCCCCCTTCTGGTCACCTGTTGCTTTGTGCTCTGATGTCTGCTGAAGGGATGTCTATTTACATTCCACACTGCTGAGAGGAAGGTCCTAGACTCCTCCATGTTTGGTACCAGACCAGGCACACAACAATTTAACAAGGGCCCAGGTTGTTACAAGTGTTATAGAAATTAGAGATGTAGGAGCTCTAACATGCCATCCTTCATAGTTGGGGGTCAGTATTAACACAGGATGCCTCCTGTTCATTAAAGAAATGGCAGCTTGGCTTATAAATCGGTATATTCTAGAAGAAACCAGCATGTCCTCTGAAGTCTTTTAGGATCAGCTCCCATTATAGGGGTCCAGGCACAAAGACAGGCAGAACACCGGAGTCACTAGTGGGATTAAGATGAAGGGCTGGGGGTGGGGAGAACTCAATACACAGGTGGTGGTCACTAAATTAGCTGTAAATACTGAGCAAAATCAGCATCTGGAAGAAGACCCCATGCAGGAATTTGGTTGTTGCATAAGCATCAATTCTCAAATACTGGTTCACGCACAGACATTGGAGTCAAGGTCCACTGCTATTTGAGAACAGACTTCTACTCCAGAGTTTAATATAGTACTGTTAAAACCACCAAGATAAGATCACTCAAGTGACTGAATATCCCATGATAAATTTATTTTATGCCATGGATCATCATGTGGTGTGGTCTGAGCAAGACTTAGTACCATGCATTTGGTTGTAATCCTGACAGACAATTATGCACTCTTAGGCCTTGAGCAAGTTACTTAACTTCTGACTCAATTTCCCCATCTGTAAGGTGGGGATAAAAATACTTACACAGTTGGTGCTGTTTATGACTATCCATTTACCACCTACAAGTGGTTAAATATACTACAGTATGTGGCATTTCCTGTACACAGACTGCAAAAAAACAGAAAACCCCTAAGTAAAAAGGTACACAGTGCTGCAAACATTCAATTTTTAATGGTGCCCAGTGCACATACCTTATAGGGGTGTCTGCAAGGCTCTATATAAATGTGTGATCTTATTACTATAAACATTTTCTTTCCCTATTCCTTGTTAACTGCATTTGCAGCCTCATGTCTAAAGCTAGACTGCAAGCTTTTTGGAGCAGGGACTATGTTACTTTTATTCTGTAAGCCACATGGCACATCGCTGAGTGATAGATAAATATGTACTAAGTATTATTATTATGCCCCTGGTAAAGGAACAAGTGTTTCTATAAGGTTGTGTTTCCCATTTATATTTAAAACAAGTGTTTTTATTGGAAGGATACAAAGAACCCTAGTGCTAGTGTTTTTATAAGGTTATCCGACACCACTTCTGTCCTGGGCCGGAGTTACACCTTACGTGCTCCTCTGCTCCTCGGCACAGCATCTTCAGCGCCCCCCGCCTACAGCTGACCTTTGTCTTGCACACAGTTTTAGAGAGGTAAGTTGCCTCCAGAATGCCTGTGCCCTTAGGCACGTGCCTACTGTGCCTAATTGGAAATCCGGCCCTGCTTCTGTCAACACCCTTGCAGTTGACCCCCAGATGGCTCCTATCTGACTTATAGCATCCTCATGAGAACTTGAAGCACTCTGCTTATTCAGCCCAGGATCACAAGTTTGGTGGTTTCAGTTTGGCACATACAGCACTACCCACTATTTTTCTTTGGGGCTCTCCTCTTCCCCATCCACTCAACCAAGACAACCCTTCCTAGTGGGATGAGGTGGGGCAGCACTGCTGTGTGAGAAGAAAAGAGCAGCGCAGAGGAGATCAGAATTTGGTTTTAGTCGCACTTTTCACACTCCAGTGCTCCCAAAGCACTTTACAGAGGACAGTGTTAGATACCAGCAGCCACTGTGTAGCTAACAGCAGCCATGGATGCACTTGTTTGTAGTTCATACACAGCCTTGGATGTTAAAACTCATTTTACTACAAAAGGAAACATTGGCAAGGACATAAATTATCCAGTAGGAAGCAGCACAGTTCTTTAGCTTCCATTCACACATGAAGCAGCATGTACAGTAACCTGAGACTATATGACCATCTCCCCAAGCAAGCCTGCAACAACTTTTCCCCTCCTAAGGAGCAGTCAGAGGAGTGCAGTTTAAGCAGGAAAGAATTCTCAATTTTATCTATTAATCATCAATAGTCTCAATTAAGCACAGAAGATTATGCTAGGAATACACCCTGTCCAGCCATACTAAAATCCAGCTATATCATTTCCAATGAAATTGTTCTGTCACTTACCCAAACTTTCTGTTTATCCACAAGCTATTTTCAACTCTTGGTACCCTTCTTCCTGCTTCTGCCTGTAAGTTTCCTTTAAGATTTAAAAGGCTGGCTCCTTGGAGCTGCAGTGTGGCTGGTCACCATGAATGAGTAATCCATAGCCAACAGCCTACCCTTATGTCAGAGGCCAGACAGACTGCCCTGGCTGCTGCTGTGAGAAACAGAATAGCCACGCTATTCCTGGCCCCTGCAGAGCATTTCAATTTGACAACTGTTCTCATCCGGTGAGAAGCGCACACTTACCCAATCCCTATCGTCACACCTCCACATGCCATACGTGAGACACCTGCAAGACGGTCAAGTCAGTTAACCATGCCTACAAAGCTGGCCACATGACACGTCCACCAAGGAGGACATCAGGTCTGACAGATGAGGGAATGGCAGATGCTTAAACCCTAAGCTCTGTGCCTCTGTCCCTTGGAGACACAGCATGGATTCCCAAGACACTGCAGTGTGGAATGCAGAGAATATCTTCCCTTCCATCATTCACAAGTCCTCCTCCTGCTCTAACAATCCTCACACACACTGAGAGG